GCTCTCCAACCTCTCAATGATTCCTACATACACCAGCATATTTCCGAACACTCAATATATGCCGCAGTGACAAATAACGTCACAGAAGATTCTGGAATGTTCTAGAAACAATCGATGGAACAATTAGAGAGAGAGGTTTTGTTCTAAGAAGCTTCTAGAACAAAAAGAAGGAGACGGAAAATCATTCGAGAACGTTCTCGACCAAAGCCTGCCATGTGTTCTCATATATAAGACCGCCGAACAACTGCTGTCGGGCAGTCAAACAGCGAGTGTCAGAGAGACAGTTATATACCGCGTGTTATAAATCGTTTCACATAAATAGTAGTTATAAGTTCGATATAAATTAGTGTTTCTTTAGTTTAAATAAATAAGTTCGAAAATAAATAGTGTCGTGTTCGCTTCTGCACCCGAATAACGTAACAATATTTTGTTCTATGAGAACTAGGGAGTTCTCAATCATTTTTATATGTATTTATAGGGAAAATATTATTGTATTTTTAATTATTCCAATTTCGCGCTAATATATGCACGATGATCCTTAATCGCCTGCGCGAGTGCATCCGAGTCAAGGATGGGCAACGACAGCTCGTCCCACTTCGATATATACCGCATCCCCGTGTATGTCATTTTTGCCGGTAATTTTCACATCTAACGATGTTGAATAAAATGGTGACGATTAGCTAAATCCGCGATAACTCCCGTATTAAGTGTTGAACCTGTTACATCCACAACGAGAGGGCCCTCTTCCGGCATTTCATCAGGAGCAGTACCAAAGCAGTGCCTACTTGAACGTCTCCGCCGATCAAAAACGCGAGGTAAGGCCATAAAGGTGAATCGTGCTCGATTATTCAAACTGAATCTAAGTGATACAATAATATTGAATCCACAACCAAAAACATACAGTCCACTAAAATCTACCCCTAGCTGAAACACATGGGAAATGGTAAAACTGACGTGGTGCATTATAGTAGGATACTACCCTACAACCACCCATGTGCTCCAACCTTTTTGTATTCGAATGAGGAGAAAGACGAAGAATAAGTCTGTTTTTCCCAGCTCCTCCTTACTTTGAGTCACTCGCCATATCATTATCACCCTGTATATATAAATATTTTTTTTTTTTTTCTCAATTTTTTTGTTTCTTCCGGCAATGCCACTTCATGAAAAACTATATCAGATTACTAGAGTAATATATTTTCATTCAGAAAAATTTGACTTCAACTCATTAGATCTAGATATTTTTATTCAAATCAGGAGAGAATTCCAAAAATCAATATTTCTTGTTTATATTATTTTTGTTCGAGTACTACATTTCAAGTTTCGATTCATCAGCGATGTCAACAATGTTTAAATTTTATTCTGAATAGGAACAAAAATATTACATGTTCATTTCTGCAATTTAGTCAACGCGACCGAAGTTCAATCCACGCTGCTATAGATGGGTCACACAGCTGATGATATCACCATATTATTGTAGGTGAGATCATATTTCACGAAGGTCACTAGCAGCACAAGACAACTCGGTAAAAACAATTCGCGGAGATCTTGCATAGGACGGCTGGACATTTAATACTTATTCAATTTAGCTTCAACTGCATATGGTTTTAGTATACAGGGTGACTCCAAATTTCGAATACAAAACTGAGGCATAGAGACAATGTTTTCCTGTTGTAATTTTTGTTTCATTTAAGTTCTAAATAAGTTCTTCCTGAGAATTTGATTTTTATTTATTCGTTAATTTTTTTTCTTTGAAATTATAGATTTCGAGCGGTTCTTTTTTTTTTTAAAGAGTGACTTTAACGTCATTAACTGGACTCTAGGTATGCAGAGGGTTAGGAAGAGGTGAGATATTTGTGTTTTTCAGTTATATCTACAGAATGTTTGTTATTAACACAGAAGAGTAATTTGTTTGAGAATTTTATGTATTAAGGAAATTGGTACCTTGGTATAGTGAAGCAAGTTGTTGAATTTGAATTGAATGATGAGAGAATGGAATTGAGAATATAAGATAGAGAGAAATAATTGATGAATGTTGAATTGAAGATGAGAAGTTGTATATTGAAGATGATTGATGGTATAGTGAAGATTGATAATGATGAATTTGAAGATGATTTATGAGATATTGAAGATGATAATGGTATATTGAGGATGATTAATAGTGTATTGAAGATTATGAAAGTTAATGTTGAATTTTTGTGATGAATTGATATGAGATTGATTTTATTATTATGATTCACTGATGGGTTTAGTAGTGATTACTAAACAATTCGGCTAGGGAAGTTTGGCAGATGCTTTGTCAAGTACAAAAGTGAAAATTCACCCTTCGGCCAAGACGTAACATGTGAGTTACGTACTATGTTATGAGGAGTAGAAAGTATTTTGAGAGAGTTATATATGAATTTTAGTTATGAGATGAATTGAGGTATATTGTGATATGAGTTTAGTAATGGGTACTAAACAGTTCGGCTAGGGAAGTTTGGCAGATGCTTTGTCAAGTACAAAAGTGAAAATTCACCCTTCGGCCTAGACGTAACATGTGAGTTATGTACTATGTTATGAGGAGTAGAAAGTATTTTGAGAGAGTTATATATGAATTTTAGTTATGAGATGAATTGAGGTATATTGTGATATGAGTTTAGTAATGATTACTAAACAGTTCGGCTAGGGGAGTTTGGCAGATGCTTTGTCAAGTACAAAAGTGAAAATTGACCCTTCGGCCAAGACATAACACATAAGTTATGTGCTATGTTATGAAAAGGAGATATTATTTTGAGTGATATATATATGGATTTTAGTGTTGAGATAATCGAGTTATATTTTACTATGAGTTTAGTAATGATTACTAAACAGTTCGGCAGAGGGAAGTATGGAGGAAACCTGCAATATTGGTGAATACTACCCTTAGGGCCAATTCGTGGCACATAAGTGTCATGCAATGCGTGTTGCAATCAAGTTATTGCAAGAGGATGCAATGTAATGAGTGAATGGAAGTAATCAAATTGTTTCAGATATCTAGAAGATATAATCCAATATCCGTCGTTGGTATTAGCCAGGAAAGTAGTTGTTTTCTTATAGATATCTCTACAATTTGATCGAATGAAAGCGAGGTACTAATTTGAAATTTCAAGTGCATCATTATGATATGACAATAGTATGTGTTAAGAGCAAAATGTTAAGTTTTCAGAATACATTAGCTGTTTTTTTTTTCAGTGAAAACCACTCTGCTTACCTACCGATTCAGAGAAGTTTGCTTCATATTATATTTTTTCCATGGTGTGAACATGAGGGAAAAAGAGTATTTGGGAATATAAAAAGGGCCTGCTATTCATACATATATATGTATTAGGAATAGTAAAAAATCATATTTTGGTTAGGGAAAGAGTGGAATTATTGGGAATCAGTAACTTGTTTTGGTTTATATATTATTTTTCTTAATATCAGGATGTAAAATAAACACTTAGTGCGGCATGTCTCTTTGTTTCATGTGAGAGGAGACTACACACGGAAAATGGGAAGGCACTGGTACCCAGCTGACATGGCAAGACCCCACGAGGCAAAACGGCTGATAGAGGAGGCGAAAACTCTGAAGGCTGACACCTTTGACATACCAGGAGACCTAAGAACATAATGGTTAGAAATTGATGAAGATGACAATAAGGGGTGAGGTTTTTGGACGTCATTTCAGAATAAGGACACCAGAAATGTGAAGATAGGATCCTCAAAGTACTTACCAAGAGTGGCTTTGAAGCTGTTCACGAGAACCGAGTCGGAACACAGCAACAGGGGGGTGTGCGTTCACCACCATCCACCGTCGAAGCAAGCCGCAAACAGGGTGAAGCAGATACTCGAAGGAACGTTCCACAGAGGCCACATATACGAGTTGCATTGAGGAAGCTATTGTCAAGAAGGGCACTTTTTCGGGTGAAAAACAAATTGAATAAAACATCAAGATTTTTCATATTTCAAATTCATATTCAATATTCTTATTATAAAATCATTTTCATAAACAAAACATTGCTACCTTCAAGTCTATAGAGAATATGGGTCAGCACCAGTAAACAATAAATATTCAATAAGTATGTCATTGCCAAAACTAGAAACGAGAACATCGTTGGATGATAATGGAATGCGAAACTGCTGATTCAGGAAGAGATAGACTTTGAGCTGGCATGAGAATTGATAGGTAGATCTTCGGAGATAGGGACAGTTGTTAGTCCGCGAGGCGAGGGTGAGGATAGCTGCTGAGTTGAGTAGACCGCGCATCTTGAGTTTTAGTTAGTGCCTTTTTTGTCTTGCGGGTTATTTTTGACCATTAGAGCTTTCGCGTTGCCTCCTCGAGAGAACTGCCAATCATGTTGGATATTTTATTAAGGTAAGAGAATTTTGTGTTGTACTGGGCGTTGTATATATTTTTGTTGCCGATTTGTTTCTCCAGGAAAATCTAATAAAATTCCCTGAGTTATAAAAGCCTGTGGTTGATTCACTGAATAGTGGTTATCCTGAGTAGATAAGATAAAAGCCTCCTAAGATCAGCCCATCAGGCGGAAAGGGTTTAGCTGTTCCTTACTGAGTACGTCCCAAGCGACGGGGGTTGATCCTCTATTAGCCCCGTACGCGACACTATAGTCAACTATATCTAACCTAGAGAATGGGAATAGATATCATGAGACAGAGCCATGAGGTAACAGTTTGGCTTACCAAGCAACACTCCCAGGATAGAGACTGGAACACATGGAAAACCTTTGGGAAACACCACAAACACCCTGTATCTGGAAATTACCCATGAAAAAACAACAAACAATAACCAATATCCCCGAGCGAAAACAGTCTATTTCGTTAGTGTCATTTTTCGAACAAAGAAAAGTGAAATGCACTTACTCATCAAAAATTTCATAAGCCTTGAACGGTGCAAACGGCATTTGTCATTTGATACGATACGAAGAATGCTGAAACCACAATTTGTTCTTACCGGTAAAACAGAGGTATGAACTTGGAATCCAATGGCAGTAGCTGCGAATTTCACAATGGACACCGACGGTACACGAAGCTACGACAGACCCCAAAAACGAGACCAATCAAAGAACCAGATGACGGGAATAACCGAGCCAGGAGAAACCCTCCATCACCTCATGATTAGTATGTATGTCAAAGGGAAGTCTACCAAAACAGAGTGAAAGACCATCCGCGAACCATCAGTTCTACCAACCTTGCCTTTATATGACAGGCAGCGGCCTCTAGGCGCAGCGGCCCCTAGACGCAGCGAATGGAGGCGGCCGATATTGAAGAATTCTGCATGCGCGCTAAAGTCTCAGCGTTGCGAATCATCTATGGACAGTGCCGGACTTTCAGAACCTGACCGTGTGTAGAACTCGAAAAGACTAGAAGTGATATGCATCGAAATGTTAATTGCCGTTTTTGCTTGCTTTAATTTTACATGTTCTTCTTTTATTTTTATGTTATTTTTTTTTGTTGCACTAGACTACACGTATAGTAGGAAAACTCTCTACTGCTACCTTGATATATTAGATAATATATTCATAGGGGTATGAGGGGTAGTTTGAAACGCTGGGGGCCAGCGTTCAGATGACCCGGGAACGTGTCACGGATGGGACCACTCAGTATATCAGAGTCAATACACCTTCAGATCCAGGTCATTTCAAATAATCAAACAATTAAATTTTAATTCACTTCAAATAATTCGATGGCGTCGACAAAAAATCGAACGGTTTGGCAAAACATTAAAATGATCGTTGAACTCAGGAGTTTCACGACCTGGCACCAATTTAGGTAGTTTTGAGAAGTTTTAGCAAACAAAGCAAACCGTTCGCAAATAAATACGGACCACACTGTGGCCGGCGGATCATTATTGGTGATTCCGAATTCGGTCGACATTCAGCCTAGATGCATTCAAAATTCAGTCTAGATGTGATTCAGAAGTCAGTCGAAATTTAGCCAAGATTTTTCCAAATTCATTCGAAATTCAGTCGAGATTCATTCCAAATCCAGCTTAGAAAAAAGTTCAGATTCAAAATTGAGTGATTGAGTGGCGTTGGTGTCGAGATTAACGAGATGGCCCATCCAGGACATATCATCCCCCCGGCGAGAGTATTGGCAGTACTGGTAGCAATGTAAGTACCTCGATCATTTGTTTCCAATATTAGTTGGCCCCATAGTTAGGGAAAATAGGGATCAGTACTCACTTTGAACGCTGTTAATCTCGTGCTAGGCCCTTCCGGCAACTTTAAGTAATCCAGGGATGAGGTTAGGTAATGTACTAATGAAGAGGCGTGTCACACGTTACCCTGGTAGGGACTAATGTTAGTAATGTTGAAGCACTTGATTTGTACACTGTGTTTTTGCTCATGACGGATCTTTTTTTTTTGATGTTTTTTCACACTTGACTCACTTTACTTCAACCACATTTGTTTGATTTGCTGCTCACACGTTCGTTTTGATTTGTTCCACTTTGTACACATATAACTTTTTTCTTTATTTAATTAAATTGTATTTTTTCTTTATTCACACTCTCGTCATTTCTTTGCTGCAACTCATCTTTGGTCAGATCAACTCTCGCATTGCCACTACGACCCCCAAATAATCTAAACCTCACAGCTCGGCATATCCCAACAGGGAACGTAGCTAGAGGTGTAGCCCATCACGGGGAAGTCAGCAGCCCCAGAAGTTGGAGGCCGCAACCTACTCCGTGACAATATATCATTCAACTACCAAACGATGCACATTGTTAAACAGAAGGAACACTTCGTTGTTGATAATTGGGATAGAAAAATTGGATATGGAAATGGAAAAGATAATTTGTCACGACATGGCAATTTATTACCTTCTACTGTCCGTGGCCTCATCATCGGTCCATCTAATTGCGGCATAACAAATGTGATGATATCTTTGTTGACTCACCCTCATGGCCTGCGCTTTGCAAACGTATATTTATACTCCGAGTCACTTAATCAACCAAAGTATGAATATCTACATAATGTATTGAAACCGATAAGTGGACTGGGATTTTTTACATTCAGTTATAATACAGAGGTGATGGATCCATCGGAAGCTGAACCAGATTCCATATTCATTTTTGATGATGTGATAAGTGAAAATCAAGATGTTATCCGAACATATTTCAGTATGGATCGTCATAGACAGGTGGACTGTTTCTATTCAGCACAAACATACTCAAGAATTCCAAAACAATTGATCCGCGACAACTCCAACTTCATAGTTATATTCAAGCAAGATGTGACAAATTTGCAACACATTTTTTCTGATCATGTTTCACCGGATGTGACTTTCAAAGAATTTCAGGATATGTGTGGAGAATGTTGGAGAGATAATCACGGATTTCTTGTCATTGACAAAGACAGTGAGGTATGTAATGGTCGCTATAGAAAAGAATTCGATAGCTTTATATATCCTTGAAAATAACGGAGACCAGTCAATTGATTCCCAATCGTCACAGGAGTTGCACGTGCTGGGTAATGATGAAGATAAAAGTGGATGAAAAAACAGAGAGTGACATAAAATTGAAACGACAATTGGTCGAAGCGACGGATGCAGTGAGACAGAAATTCAATACTATCAAGAGTAATCATACCGAAAATCTGATGTCTCTCGAGAAAATATATGAACCTATAAAAAAACCGCTCAATGTAATATCTGCTGCAACCGCAGCAAAACCAAAAATCGAAAATTTGCCGTCTGTCACCGAAACAAGTATACCCGTCTCGAATAATACATCCTATATCCCATTATCAGCAAGTACATCGAAATATAACGGCCGTAGTGATACTACCGAATTTCATTCGCCTTCATGGAAAACTGATATCGTACCCGATCCCACAGAATCACATCTCATGGATACGCCACCTTCGTCAACAATATCTTCAATGAATGACGATAATACCATTCAAGCCATTGAGGAGCAAGATCGAATAGCAAATGGACACATTGAAAATTCATTATCTGGGGACTCACGCTATGATAAAGCATATGGTGTTCATATAGATTCCAAAACAAAAGGACTGAAGATTGGTGAAGTTGAAGTGAGTTTTCCTATAGAAAACATCATAATTCGAATAGGTGAAACACAGAAACAGTTTGCAGCTGATCTACAATTATATGATATAGTGGGCGTACAAGCAGAACCCTGTAAGTCCACTTTTTTCGGAAATGAGGAATTTATCACACATAAGTCCATATTAGCGTAACGCTCCAGGCAAATAAACATTCAAGTCCATTTTGCGTTTGTTTCCGGAGATATAGTCAATGAAAATCCACTTAAGTCTAATTTCGTTATAATTTTGACATGCAGAATCGGTCAAGTGCACTTAAACGATTTTCAATTTCTACTGACCGATATTCGACAAGTGTGAACAGGAAAAAACCTGTAACTCTGTCATTTGATGTGTAGTGTTTCTTGGTGTAGGATCGTAACCTCGATCGTAACAGCTCATCCTTAGTGTATCAATGTCTTCCAGAGGAAAAAATATTGTTTTTCTAGCTTGCAATGAACAAGTGAGCCATGTTATAGATAAAAATAGGGTCACTTGTGAAAAATCTATGAACAATAATGAAAACTTGTTATGTGGAAACATCAGTGAAAATATGTGTGAAACATCAAGTGCAGGTAAGCAAGTAGTTCATTAAAATCTTGGCTTTCTAATTAATATATGCATTGAAAATGAAAGAATGCTAGTAAATACAACACATACATCATTCTCTCATCTCAAATAGATATTGGGTATTTGGTTGGACTAAGGTGATTCTTCTTGTTAGTGGTGGTACCTGCAACTATGACTTAATTGTTTCTTAAGATAAGGGATCGGAAACTATTGATTAATATCCTGCTTGTTTTCAGGTAATGATTTGGCTCATGAAAGTTCCATTGATGACTCAAAATTGCAAAGTACATCCACCAAAATCGTGTCTCACCGAATGTTGAATGAAGACAGCAATTATCCATCCCGAGATTCGGCCTTGATACACCTAATGCTACAAAAAACGGTAAGTAGAAGAACTTCAGAACACATTTTCGGGTTATTGAATTGTATTTGATGCTCTTGCCTTTGCTTCCACAAACCACACCCATTCGAGCTCAATTGCAAACATTTCTTTTTCATTCTAGTTGGAAATGATACTGCTCAAATATATGGGACAACCTCATCGAGAGAAAGAACAAGTGAATTAAATCAGTTTTTGTCGAATGAAGACAGTGATGACTCAGTACAAGATCCTGATTATAGTTTAAGTAATACTTCGGAGTCAGAAAAAGGTAAAGAATAAATTTGTTATAGAAAACTACTCTCTACACCATTTTTGTTATAGAGGAGGAAAATGATAATAGAAAAGACAAACAGCTAACAAGATGGAGAAGGAGTCATCCTAGTGATTGGAAACGCAATATAGCGAAAAAGAGAAGAAGTGATGGTTTGAATTATGAGATTAATAAGAAGCAAAGACCGCCTAAAAAACCCCGAGCGGTCAATTGTGAAAAATGTCGTTTCAAATGTCAGACTAAATTTTCAGATGCCGAAAGGGAAGCTATCTGTTCACTATATTGGAGAATGAACAACTTTGAGAGACAAAAAGATTTTCTTCTTTCTAATATTACAAGCATTCCTCCAGAGAGGAGGAGACAACGAAATGGAAATAAAGGCCCCAGAAGCAATTCTAAGCAGTACTACTTCGAAAAAGACAGAAACAAAATGAGAATATGTCAAGCTTTTTTTCTAAAAACGCTCAATATAAGTGGTGATGTTGTTAAAAATGCCTTCCAAAACAAAGGACCAGCTGGCACCTATATCGGAGAAGATAAACGTGGAAAATCTGTACCAGGAAATAAAACCGCTCCTGAGCTAGTTGCTGCTGTTAAGGAACACATAGAGAGCTTTCCAACAGTAAGATCACACTATTCCCGCAAAACTACGAAGGAAGATTACCTGGACAGTAAATTATCCATATCAAAGATGTACAGTCTCTACAAAGAAAAATGTGAATCAGAAGAGAAACAATTCGTGACATTTATAACCTATAAAAGAATTTTTGGAGAGCACTATAACTTATCGTTTTTCAAACCTAAAAAAGATTTATGTCAAATCTGTGAGAGGCATAAAACAGCTGAAAATGAGGCAAACAATAATGAGATTTATGAGAGTCATGTGATGCGAAAAAAAGATTGCTACATAGCTAAAAACAAGGACAAAGTACGAGCTACTAATGATGAAAGTTTTGTCTCTTCAACTTTCGATTTGCAGTCAGTACTTCAAATTCCCTGCTCGGATGTAAGCCCTATGTACTACTCGAGAAAAATTTGCGTGTACAACCTTACAATTTACAATTCAGCCCCACCGAATGATGCCTATTGTTATTGCTGGTAGGAATTGAATGGGAAAAGAGGCAGTTCCGAAATAGGTTCGTGTTTATATTTATACCTGATGAATTTGCCTCCACATGTGAAGGAAGTGTCAATGTGGTCTGACACATGTGGAGGACAAAATCGGAATCAGCATGTTGCAGCTCTGCTTCTCTATATGGTACAGTTTTCAAAGCTTGACACTATTCAGCACAACTTTTTGGAAAGTGGACATTCCTATATGGAAGCGGATTCCATGCATAGTTCTATTGAACATGCCAAACGATTTGTACCAGTTTATACAATGAATGACTGGCTCAATATATTCAGACTGGCCAGATCAAAAAGGAATAAAAACAAGAAAAGTGAGCCCTACAACGTACAAGAATTAAAGTTCACAGACTTTTACGATTTGAAAGTATTGTCGGAAGTTTTGATCAGAAACAAAACTAAAGACACCGAAGGACACACTGTTAACTGGTTACTTATCAAGAGCTCAAAGTATTCAAGAGAAAATCCAGGAGTTATCGAATACAAATACGTACACGATGGCCCCTACAAATTCATCAATGTTTTTGGAAGGGGAAAAAGGCCGACATATCCTAAGCAGCTGAAAAATTTATACACTAAACAATTGCCAATAAGTTTGAAAAAAAACAAGATCTCCTCAAATTATGCAGGAGTCAATCAATTCCTGTCGATGGGTGGTATAAATCATTACCTACCTCAAAAAATGCGCTAGATCGATCTGCTGAGCCATGTGTGGATGATAGTGAAGAAGAAGACATCAGTGACTCTGATGATGAACTGCCATTGGTACACTTAGTCCATAAAAATTAATAAATGGATCAGGAAAAAAACTTTAAGTACAAACTGGTTGTGAAAAAAATGAAATATAAATTCTTTTTTTTGTTTAATGTTTGTTTTATTGAATTATGTGTCTTAAGAGATAGCATACTAAATCACCTTTAGTGTTCAAGATCGATTATTCATGGAAACAAATTTTACAGGTTGATTCGAATATTCAATTGCGTTTTTCTCCTTATATTATTTTCTGGACTTAGGTGATTCTGCTTGTACGCCCACGATTATGATATTCCTTAAGAAACCACCAGAAAATATTAGAGGTGAAAATATGAAATTATTTGCCGCTATAATGCAACTGACACGAGCACCATACAAGAACTACGATCTCAGGCAAGGGCTCAATATATCAAGTTCGAAGAAATATTATGAATTAATCAAACCATCAGTTCATGCTCCTTATGAAATGAGGAAAAAGGAAGGTGGAAAACTGAAGCAAGTTGTACACTACGTCGAAAAAGGAGTATGTAAATTGGAATAGACCCAAAGAACTGGTGGATCGATTGAGATTATTATGGAGTTCGAAGATGGCTGGACATACTGGACATACCAACGAAATCATATCTATAATTGAAGAGTTGCGAGAAGAAGGTATAGTATACTAGATTCGATAGCTATATCAAGAGAACATTATGATAGAGCTCTTCAGTTATAATCTACATTCGAGTCGAGATAGATCCATAGACGAAGTAAAGATATGAATGATATTAAACGATAAATTGCAAAGGAACTACATAGATCTGCTCGCCGCAACTTCAGAAGAAGAAGAACAATCATCAGAGGATTTGCTGGTTTGTGGCAGATCGATCTTGCTGAGATGCAACAATATGCAGAGGTGAATAATGGATATAGATATATTCTCTTCGTGATTGACTGTTTTTCTAAATATCTATGGACTGAACCAATCAAGAACACAACAGGAGAGGAAGTTAGTAAAGCTATGGAAAAAATTCTGAAAGAAGCGAAATACTCACCAAAACATATTCAAAGTGATGCTGGAACAGAACTTTTCAATCGCTGGTTCAATAAATTGATGAAAAAATATGAAATCAATCATTACACTACATACAGTACAAAAAAAGCTGCTATCGTTGAGCAGGTCATCAGAAATCTGAAGAAATGGATGTATGAAGAATTCTCAGCTATAGGTGAATATGTATGATTAGGAATATTACCTGAACTAAAGCACAGATATAATAATAAAAAACATCGCACCATCGGAATGAGGCCTGTAGATATTTTACCTTCAACACAGATAGAAGCATATAGTCACCCGAAAATAGCTTTGAAGCCAGAATTTAAAGAAGGTGAAATTGTCAGAATAAGCACGTACAAAGGTGTTTTTGAAGAAGGATACACTGCGAACTTTTCAACAGAACTCTTCGAAATCACTACAGTGAAAAGAACTAATCCAACTACTTACTTACTGAAAGACATGGAGAGGAATCCAATCAAAGGATGTTTTTATGAAATGGAATTACTGAAAACGTTTAATCCCAACGTATACAGGCTGATTTTGAAATGAGTGCATATATTCAAGACATATATATGAGAGAGTCTAACAAAAATTCCTAAAATATTTGATTTTTCCTAAGTCTTCACATTAACGAGAAATTTCATTTTGAAAATTGAACATGAAATGCTTCGAAATTCGAGTACGCCACTGGGAAGCAAGTGAAATCTGCGGAATCCCAAGGAATCCCCAATTCGTCATTCACTAACGTCTAAACAAGACAGTGATGCCAGATTGTTTCAGAGACGAATATCCTGATAAAAATTTGTCACAGAATGAATATGAATTGGAATAGGTTATGGAAACTGATAGAGGTGAATGTAATATGTACAGGAGCCTTATTTTTTTAAGTTTACTGAGAGAACTGTGGGGTGATTATCTCCATGGATCACGGGAGACGGAGAGAAACATGAGGGGAATGATAGAACGTCATATTCGCACTTAAACCATCGAACACGACTCGACGACGACATATCCTTCCTGGCAATCTCACATTGAAAATCGCGATCACGATCATATCACGATTATCACGACACAAGACACTACATCCAATTATTTTATTTTTTATTTTACGTTTACAATTATTTTACAAACCAGCAACCACACAAACAAAACTATTATCATACGATCTGTCAACATCATTTCTCAGAACAGTAGTATCTGTGACCATAGATTTCCTTTTTGCTGTGACCTTTGACAGTACTAACTAGGATTGTTCGCGTTCAGAAAATAAACAATCCGAAACCGTCAGAAGCATGCACAAGTCCACAGAACCCAAAAAAATCATACAGTTCTGTGAAACTGCGCATGCTTCTGGCCGTTTCGGACGCAAGAATTCAGATGACCATGAATTACTAATAGGTGATTTCTAAGGATCAATCAGAAACAAGCAAAGTAGCGCCTGCGTGGTTGTGACTCATCCTGATTGGACACAGCTGATTTTTTTTGTGAGATTAGTGCATATAGTGAGGAAGGATCATTTCATTGAATTGAACTAATATATTTTTTTTTCCAAATTAGTTATTATGAAAATGATAGTTTCATTCAAAGAGATGATCCTTCCTTAATATAATACAGTAATCTCAATCAGCTGTGCCCAATCAGGATGAATCGCAACCACGCAGGCGCTACTTTGATGTGTCTGATTGGTCCGTAAAAATCGCCTATCAGTAATTCATGGTCATCTGAATTCTTGCGTTTCGGACTGTTTATTTACTGAACGCGAACAAACCTACTGACTGGCTTTTTACAATAGATACTTAATAGGAGACATAGATATGGCATCGAGACGTATCGAGAGCGTTTTGTCTTGTAACTTGTAACAGAGAAGGTAATCTAGAGTAAAGGCTACGCTCATCGGCAGGTCTGACTATGCTAACCACAACGAGCTAAACCGAGTTCTGAACGACATTGAAAGCTTCTTAAAATAAGACTACGTAGACCACGGTCCGATCAATTATCTGAAAGAATAGGGACAAGTTAATCATAGATCAACCTGCTGCTCAACGTATCCCATTGGCCCATTTGAAAATTGACATTCGAGATGTATACCAATGTGTACATTTTATTTAAATTTCATTACGTTTCTTGGTGTTTTCTCTACGGACAAACCGCTTCATATTAGGCTCGTTTTAGTTTTCTTCAGAACGGTGCTAGAACCGTTCTGCTCATGCGCAGCTGTGTTTTCGTGACAAAATTAAGCAAACGCGCATGAGCAGAACCGTTCTAGAACAGTTCTGAGAAGAACCAAAGGCTCGTTTTAGTTTTCTTTAGAACGGTGCTTGAACCGTTCTGCTCATGCGCAGCTGTTTTCGTAACAGAGTTAAGTACAAGCGCATGAGCAGAACCGTCCTAGAACGGTCTGAGAACAACCAAAACAAACGTTTTAACAAACCTCCTCTCTCATTCTTTAGTTCCTCCGAAAATTGTTTTGAGCTGAGCGTGAATAACCAACTAATAGTGCGATAATTAGTTCAGAAGACGGAATAAATTTGTTTGTGGGGATTTCTTCGTGATATAAGCAGGGTGATATAATTTTGTGACGATGCCTTACTCAGACATTGAGCTGACTGATATGGTTCTAGTGTATGGTGCGGCCGGTGAGAATGCTCGAAGGGTACAAATTTTATATCGGGAAAGATTTCCCAACCGCGTAATGTTCCCAATGCACGCACATTCGTTTCTGTTGTGCAACATCTTAGGGATGACGGTACCCTTCGATCATAAAACAGACTAGATGAGTAATCCATAGCCCTGGCAATACAGTTTGTTTGGAACCAACATCTATATTGTTCATTTCATGCTAAACAAGGATAGCAACACCTGATTCTCCCAGCACCAGTGCCGTAGTGCGAAAAAAGCTCGATAGTTGATATAATAAATTCTTGATTGTGGAAGAAAATTTAAAAATATGCTTTTTCTGGCAATAAATATCGAATTAATTTTACTGTAGTCTGTATTCATCAAATTGCTATACAAACATTCTGATAGATACGATACATCCGTATTTTTGTCATACCTAAACATCAGGAATTGGGACACGAAATTTAACATTTTTATTGTGACACGTTCGTTGTTGTCAAACTTATAAACATACAATAAGAAAGGGTCACTCAATTCAGTAAATAGTAGGTACATTGCTTATCGAG